TTTGAAAGGTTGTTGATCAAGCTGAAACTGTTCAATCTGTATAATCCAGCTTGAGGGGGAGTGTTGAATTAGTTAGAAGTTAAGATTATGTGGACTTACTTAGAAGTTGTTTTAAAGTTGTTTAGATTTTGTGTTTAAATTTAGCAAATAAATCTCTTCTTTTGTTAGGGAAGTTAGGAGGTTATTCCTAGATTTTGTTTCCTCTTGTAACCTATAAATAGTGCATCTATTCCTCATCTTTGATCAATCAATTTGAGAATTTATTTCTTCTCTCTTTTCTCGTGTATGTCTCTCTGGTGTCTCTATCCTTAGTTTTTATTATTCTTCTTAACCATGGACATAGATTTGCCCCATCCCTGACCAATTCAGGGAAGATACAACACACAATCCTACACCATGTCTTTAGAGATACCGTAGGGATTTTAGTTCTTAGCCTTTTAGCTTACACCAAAAAGATCAAGGCTAAGACCTTAACATTCATCCATCAAACTCTCAAACCCTCAACATTCATCCATCAAACTCTCAAACCCTCAAGAAGGAAGTACCTTTAACAAAGTTTTCCCAAAACTTGCTTCCTCTTCTGCAATTATTTCCCTAATTCGCACCTCATGTTGTTTCAGCTCTGGGAAGATATCACCCATCAATTTCACAACAGTACTCACTGGTCTGGATCACCATAATCGTTAGCAGAAAACAATCATATAAACAAATATTTAGACATACAATTTAAAGTTATATTATGACACTCAAAAGATGTAGCAAGGAAAGAGTTGTGCAGGCGAGTAAAATAGAAAAGTCCTCCTACCCATTGAAAAATCCTTCTTGAGCTTTTAAAACTTCACTTCCATATCGAACTGCTCGACGAAGGATACGTCTCAAAACATATTCACGTCCCTCATTACCTATCAAGGATTTTTTAAGAGACGTGAAACTATTTAATGGAGCATCAAATGATGTGCAAAGAGTGAAGGTGGACGACAAATCCAATCACAACAAAATATGAACATAACAAGTGCAAATATTAATTTTTAACAATGATAACAGAACCCACAGAATGTTAACAAACAACTATGCAACTGATAAGCATAATTACTTGCTATTAAACAATCCTCATCCTGTTCATGGTATCGAAGAAGAAAGATCAAAATCCACTACCAATACAAGGATCACTTATATAAATTCCCATGGAAGTTCCAAAGAGAGAAAAGAAAAGGAGAAGGAGAAAACAAACAAACAAAGAGAGAAGACAGGACGTAACCAATAATTACAAGTAGAAGGGCTTAAAATGCTTTCTAGACAGGCATTTCCTGTTTTCAATAGTACTCACCTGGACAAGCCCCATCGGCAATGGCAATTGAAAGAGTTCTGATATGATCAGCAACAACCCTATATCCCATGTCCACATTGTCCACATCATCTGGTCCAACTTTTCCAGTATAAGGCCGAGCTCCAGTTGCCTACAAATATTTGAGGAAAAACAGAAAACGCCATAAGAGGAATTCATACTTTGACTGAATATAGAGATCTAGATGATTACTCTTCTTCCTTGTGCAATTCAACCAAAGATGAAGCGTCTTTCACTGAGACACCTATCTTTCGTGGCTAAATGCTACTATAGTTTTTTTCCCAGCAAACATGATTAGAAAAGAACAGAAGAATTTCCTTAAACAATGAGAAAAATGGTAGCTATGATTTGAGATTTAACTATTCTTGTTGTCTCCATTTGAAGTGCAGTATGCAAACACTCTTGTAATTATTCCCCTTCTTACATAGTTCCGGATAGGAGAACCTTTGGCAACTTTGTTGGTTTAAGATTTTTCCCATTGCACATTGTCATTTGTTCAAAACATTGGTATATTACAAAAAGAGAATAGGGAAAATATTAGTCTTTATTAATACATCTGGAGATCATTTCCGTAATCTCCCTTGGTCAAGGCAGAAGAAGCTATTGAATCACAGTCTGAACAGCTTGCTTTCCACTTTTACAGAAGGTCATCCTTCCAAAAAAAAAAAAAAAGATCTTATGGCTTCATTTATGAGGACTTCTTTTTGGTTTGTTTGGTGATAAAGGAAGAACTGAATCTCCAACAATAAGAAAAATTCGTTTAATTTTTCTTTTCTGGATTACGTTTTATTTTCAGCTCTCTATTGGTGTAAATAATATGCCTTTAACTCTTATATTCTTACTTCTCCTACCGCCACTTTAAAGACGTTTTCGTAACTTCCTTGGTTTGGGGCTGGCTTTCCTCCCGTCTTTCTATAATTTCATATTAGTCTATGAAATAGATTTTTATTTAAAAAAACATGTTTTTCAAAAGCACCATCCTAAATTATATCCTATGCAAATCACAAAAGTAAAAATATATATAGTAAGAAAGATCCTGATCTTGCCTTTTGGATTGCATCAAAGATGGGCATGAACAGATCAGTGTCATAATTACTCAACTTGTTCTGAAGTACCGAAGTCAGTCTTTCAAATTCCAAGCCAGTATCAACATGCTTGGCAGGGAGAGATTTAAGGGAGCCATCATTTTCCCTGTTGAACTGTAGCAATGATAAACACAATCATTAATAACCAACGAAGTTGTTCTTATCACGAAATAATGATAACAATAACAATCAAAACCCATCAAAAGAGATGCACCAGCAAATCTACTGACAAGATTGTAGGACCAAAGCCAACCAATGCAAACATTATTTAGTAACCACACTTCTTAACTTTGCAAGGTTTAGGCAATGTAACTGGTATCCTTAGTTGTCTTCCAAATATTTCTTAGTTTAAACTTCCTTCAGAAGTAAATCTACCATGCTTACCTTTTCATTTCGTTTTCCCCCCTTTCCAATCAACGGGAGACCTAACTAATACAGCAATATCAACCAAACAAACACTTAAGCAATCAGGCTTTCACATCAGATGAACCAGCATGCCAGAAGTCAGATATGATACAGCTACTCCAATGTTAATAATAAAC